GACTCGAAATTGACACCCCTACTCTCCATAAATGTATGTCCTCAATAGTAGACTGTAGACCTACCTAACATAATTCTATATTGATTTTGAGAAACATTTGTATCACATCATAACCTATGCTTAATAACTCCCAAAATTTTAAAATATGACACATTAACTTAATTCTCTATAATTCACATACTCTGGTGCATCATCTTTATCCTTAAAGATAAGAATCAAGATGTTCTTTCTCCATACTCTTTCTCCACTTATCTAGCATCTTTTTAGTCTTCAAAGTAGTATTGAAAAGTTTCTTGAGCAAAAAAAATCCTTCCTCTTTTAAGCATCTACATATCTCTATTGAAATATTATCAGGTCTAGCAGCTTTTTCACACTTCAGTTTCTTTAAAGCTTCTGTAACTCCAATTTTGCTAATACGCCGATAAAAATAAAATAAAAAAATATTTTCATTTAAGATGCTATTATCACTGAAGTAATCGTATTTTCACAATCTTCATTGAAAAGTTTATTAAAATATCACATTCACCTTTGTTGAATATCCCCTTTTAATAAAAATAAATTTTAATCTTCATCCTTAATACACTTCACTTGAACTAAATAATTAATTCTCCTATTTCTTTATTTAACTAACTTATACATATATCTTTCACCAATAATGACTTCACAAATATTATATCACAAAAAATCAATTAAAATCTCAAATGTACAAAACTAAACAAGGATAACAAAATATGTGAAAGCGAGGAATATTGATGAAATGTCAAGAGTGAATATATATATATCGTTTAATTGCTTATTTTTATATATGTTATAAAGTGTGTAAGATATTTTTTCTGTGCTTAATTTTTTTTTATACTGCCCAACTTTTCTATGTTCTTATTATGAATTATTTGATTAAATCACTAGTCTTTACAATCATTTCATTTTGACAATAACTTAAAAAGTGTTTTTTTCTTTAATTTTGGAGATAGATAACTATCACTTGTAACATGTAAGAATTATATTTGGTATTTAAGGCTTCATTTGGGACCATTTTATTACTGTTTCTTTAAATAATTTTTTAATACAAAAATTTTAATTTTTATATTAAAAGTTATTTTAAGAAGCAGTAAAAAAACTATCCTGAACAAAACCAAAATAGATGGCTAAGCACTTATGGCCTAAATGGAAAAAAATGTTTTGATGAGTTTCTCAATAGACATCACATTCTTAAAGTTATGTATCATTTTCTATTTAAACCAATGATTACATAAAGAATCAACATGTGGCAATCACGTGCCCAAACCTACAATTATTATGGTGGTTATGGTGGAGATTTGACAGAAACTCTTATATAGAATTATCCAATATAGAATTAGTTAGAAGTGTTTGCTTACATCCTCCTCATTATTGGCTACTTCTCGATCTCTAGTACATCATAATTTAAAATTCATTTGCAACACCTACATTCAGTTCTTGCTTATTAATATAGAAAGCTAAACGAGCGTGTTGTTTCTCTTCCTCCTATGGATTATCCAAGCTTGGCAAGTAGGTGGGGATCTGAGTCTGATTGGCTTCAGGGCCTTTTTTCATTTCTCTAATTTTGGATTACTTCTCTTTTTTCATATCGCTGTGAAATCTGTCGCTTATTATGATAATTTAGTTGTTATTTCGAGTTTTGGTTTCTTTTGACCTTAATTTGTAAGTCCTTTTTCGTTAGTGGAATAAAATTGTTATTTAATTAAAAAAGTAGAAAGCTAAATGAGGCCATGAAAGCTAAAAAAGTAGAAAGATATTTATTTTTTAAAAAAATATTAGTTATTAATATGAAAAATTTGTGACCCCCTAAAATGAAAGGCTGGTTCCACCCTGGGTGTGAACTAAGAAACAAATTCAACTCGAAGCACTTCACAACTAGTATAATCAAACTATAATTTACAAAATTTATGTAGATAAAAATAAATTAATATTTTTTTTTGTTCATAAACCTCTAGATTAAGTAAGTGTTAAGAATATCTCATAAAATAAATAGGTGAAATGAAGATACTTTTAGCAAATTTTAGTAATTAATATTAAGTTTTATCAGAATGATTGGATGGTAGAGGCCAAAGTCAGGTACTATGACTTTGGAATTGAACAAACAAGGAAAAGCACCAAATCCTTTAGTTTTATTCTATTGAATCCCGAATAACCCGATCCACCCATGAAACCAAGCACGAAGTTACACAAAGATAAATGTAGAAGCTTTCGCACCTTTAGTTCTCTTAGCTTAAGCTTTGTAATCACCGTATATCCACGGTTTATTGATTCTTCCCAGCAACTCTATCAAGATCGAGATCCGAGATAGAGACGACCGCCTAGGGCTTCAGGTATGATAGTTTAAGGAAGGAAGAAAGACTACCTTCACTGGAAGATCTTCTATCGTTGGTTCCAATCGGGTCACAGTGAGCGAACTCCCGTTTTGCTAAACTTCCGATTCAACAAGCATCAAGGGTGGCAGAGACGAGTGCCTAAGCAAACCTTCGCCGATCACAGTGAGCGAACTCCCTTGCTTAACTCCCGATCCGACAAACAGGAACTTGTCGAGGGTGGCGGAGACGGAAGCGGAGGAGGATTCACCTGGTATAGAGGAAATTTGTGAGGCAGTAAGGGCATTACCGTATTTAGCATATCTATGAATAGCGGGAAGCAGGCGAACCGCAGAAGGCTTTTCACGGATGTGAGAAGCAACCGCGGGATGTGAAATTGTCGAGAACGGAGCGCCATCGGTCCGTCCCAAACGACCTCCGCGTTGTGTTCGGTAAAGCACAGCGGCGAAACACCCGTCCCAAACGCGCCCTAAGTTAGCTATGTTAATAAATAATCTGATAGATGAAACTATAAAATTTAGGTTATTTAGGCCTCACATTTTCAAGATTTATGTTTCGTTTGAAATAGATTTTTGGCTACTTTCTAAAGCATCTTTTTAATACAAAAATTTTTAAATTCAAAACTTTTGTACTAAAAAACTGCTTTAGAAAACAATAAGAAAACTATCCCAAATGAATCTTTAATGTTATATTTTTTTTATCGATTTGTATGTATGGATTTGATATATTAATTTCAAGAGTATTACTAATATCATAAAAAAAGTGTAGAGTGGGCACCTATTGAATCATGTATTAAGATAATTACAATATTAATTATAAATTAATTAATATCAAGTTAATTGATCCTAATTTCAAGTGAGCATATGATAAGGAAAATATGATTGTGGATTGGTTAGACTATCACTAAATACAAAAAAAAAAAAGTAAGCATGTTAGTAAATATGAAGATATGTAACAATATATTAGTAAGTAATTTTATTTTAATGAAAATGTAAAGTATTATTTATTTCGAAGTAATAAATAAATTCAACTATGCTTATATATTGACCCTCCAACAAACTCACGAAATTGGCTTTGAGAAAGACAATTGGTCACCCCTCAAACTCCGGAGGAGACAGGCAAAAATGTCTGCATCCTGAAACTAAACCTCGTTGAATTTCAAAGGAAAAGACATTATTTGCCTACCTATCGATCACATGGGCAGGACGTGGGAACAAAAGTTGAAGAGCAAAGTCCTACATGAGGTCCTGATTGGGTAATCATGATTTACTCGGACGGGCTTCGCCCACCCACACCCACCCATGGTGACTTCTGGGATTTCATGCCCACCTATACCCACCCACTTTCCATGTTTTTTGAATGCAGTTTGCCACGGAGTGATGGCCTTGAGGCTTACTGTCATTTGCTATGATGGCAAACTTTCAAGTCGCATATCAAAAATTGATCGTTCTCGTAGTGTGGTTAAGTGCTGCACAATACGTAATGATTATTGCAGTAGTATAAATAAGATATACGGTGATTATTAATGTAAATCGATTTATCCCTCGATATTTAGTACCCACCTATACCCACCCACAAGGCCATGATGGGTGGGTGTGAGTATCAGTATCCAATGCAGGACTCTGTTGAAGAGGGAATCAATGGAAGAAGTAATTTCTTCTCACAGCTTGCTAAGGTTTCCTCCATGAAACCTTGTTGTCACCGACTATTATTCACAAAGCTTTAATTTTGGCTAATCCTCCCTTAATGTTGTGGAACCACTTATTTACAACTCTTTAACTTCCGCTCTGTCAACTGTAACTCTGCTTTTAGGAAAGATGGTGAAAATTGGATCTAACATTAAATCAAAAAGAAGAATATGTTTAAAGTTTAAGGGGTCAATTAAAGTTGAAAACTTTCTTTAGAAGAATTGGGAGTTATCTGAGGTTATAATGATGAGTGATTGGTGAAGGCTGTAGGGGACGATTTACATAATTGATGTCTTAAAGAATCTAAAAAATTAGTCCATGGTTTCATTTGAGATTGATTTCTTACTGCTTTGTAAAGCTTCTATTAGTATAAAAATCACTTGAAAGCAGAGAAAAATAATGATTTAAAGCTACTAATATTTACAAAATTTGCACTAGCTCACGGTTATTTAACTTGGTTGTTGGGAGAGTACGGCTGGGAACCCCCAACCTGTGCTCTATTCCCCTCGAGTGTCAGCACCTTTTAAGTGATGCCAAATCAAGTGCGGGTAGATTTCTAAGATGGGTACCTTTTCTAGATCAGCCCAGGATTAGTCATGCCTCTAAGCATCCTTTCAACGATGACAACAACGAGTGAATACCACATTGCAAATAAAATAAAATAAAATAAAATAAATTTGCATTTAATTTACTCTGCAGCTCTAAGCGCAACCACTCAATCCATGGTAAACTGAGCCTTTTAAAAAAAAAAATGATTAAGCGCGGAGGACCATGACCAGTCGCGATTTTATGAGCAAATGCTGCAAAGTTCACTCTCACATCTTCATAAATGCACGCGCTGCCTGCCTCGTTAGGCGTACACTTACCTGAAAAAAGAGGGCGTGTTTCTATCATAGAATTTCTTAAATTAATAAGGGGCAAAATCAACTTTGCTTTTCTATAAAAACGGCCTGCAGTTCCCGCTTGTTGTTTACACTGAATATAGAAGTAGAAGCTCGTTGGTTTCTCGAGGTTTCTTAAAGCGGAGGAGAAGAAGAGGGACAGAGTGAGAAAGGTTCTCTTTGTTTCATCTTCTTCTCCATTTTGAAAGCAATGGCCGTCTCTCTTCTCTTCTCCTCCGTAATATTCTACTGCTTCCTCTTCCTCTGTTCCGCCGCCGGCGAACTCCGGACCGTCTATGATGCACATTGGCAGCCCGCCACCGCCACTTGGTACGGCAGCCCCGACGGCGACGGCAGCGACGGTGTGTTAGTTATTTACCCCCATTTCACTTGATTTCAGCGTTTTTATATTTTGCTCGGTAGGATTTGTAATCGCCACCCATTTGGCCTTCCACACCCACTCACCGTTGTTCTTATTTCGCCACGTGGATATCGCAGTCACGGTAACGATAGTCTAACGATCTTTTTATTATAAATAGTAAAGTAGCCGTTGTGGAGCTGGCCTCCGGCAATTATTTTACCGTTAGTAGAGGGGCGAGGATCAGCTCTCAGGTTATCAACACCATACTGCACTATTGTAACAGTTTAGCTCGTTAGATAAGTTAAGCTGGGGTACGTGTCGTATTGTCAGGCTATTATATCTGTTGCGGTACTACTAGAGCGGCACCTGATCCGAGACATGTTGCCTCGGCAAACTCCATCTTCCGCCCATGGCCGTCAGTCCGTCGTCGCATATAAAGCCTTTGTCTTCTTCTTACTGTTATTTTTAATTATCCCCTTAGAAAATTCTTGTTTTCTTTTTTTTTTTTTTCTTACTATATTTTAAAGTAAGTTTTTAATGTAAAATTTTTTTAGTTAAGAATGTTTTTTACTTAAAAATTATTTTAAAAACAGTATAAAAAAGTTAACCCAAATGAATTATAAGGTTTCATTTGAAATAATTTTCTTATTATTTTCTAATATAATTTTTTTTACAAAAACTTTTAATTAAAAATTTTTGTACAAAAACACTATTTTAAACAGTAAAAAATCATTTGATCCTAAATGCATTTATAACACTCACTTTGAAATAGAAAAAAAAAAAGACTAAAAATGACATTTTACTGGTAACCGTCCAAATTTTAATAATATTTTTTTAAAAGAGAAATATCGCAAAAATAAAAAAAAAACACGAATATGAAAGGAAGAAAAGACTATTTTCCCCAAAAATTTTAGTTTTTTACTGCCTTATGTCGGTCACGTTGTGCTTTGACAACAAACATTAGCTTTTTAACATGTTTTGTGGATACTTTCTTTTTAAAAAGGTACAATAATATTCTCTGAACGCAATAATTTTTTTTTTGGACATTTAGGTCATTTAAGTCAAATTCATACACACAACGCATACACATGAACTCGAACCTTAGACCTCTTAATTGGAAGCCTAAGCTCTCAACCAATAGGTCAAAGAGAGTTGTGTTGAACACAATAATTTTATTATATCATATTGTTTAGTTAAATATAGTTAAAGAAAATATTTTATATTAAAATTGTACTAAAAGATCTTATATTTATTTGAGTTTTGTATAATATTAATTATTTATATATTATATTAATATTTTAAATATTTAAAATTTTACGGCTCCCTTATGTCAAATTTTTTTTTACCTGCTTAATGTTTAATATTTAGTCTAGAAATAAAAAATATTTTTAATTTTTTCAAAGTAATAGATTTAATTTATAAGATAATAAATGAATAACACCCTCAATTTTTTAATTAAAAAAATAGCTATAAGCAAAAATCCTAAGATAATTTTGTTGAAGAAAATTTCTTTTGATGGGGGCTTTCCGTTTACGGGTGTATATGTGAACGCACAGGTGGTGCGTGCGGGTACGGGTCGCTGGTGGACGTACGACCAATGCGGGCGCGCGTGGGTGCTGTGAGCCCGGTGCTGTTTAAGGACGGGGAAGGGTGCGGCGCCTGCTACAAAGTGCGGTGTGCGGATCAGTCCGTCTGTTCGCGGCGCGCCGTCACCATCATCGTCACCGACGAGTGCCCCGGCGGTTACTGTGCCTTCGGCCGCACTCACTTCGATCTCAGCGGAGCCGCTTTCAGCCGCATGGCCATTGCTGGACAGGGTCCCGAGCTCCGCAACCGCGGCGAGATCTCCGTCCTCTATCGCCGGTAATAGTATATCATCTATTGCAATTACTCATTTTCTCTGGAAGATCTCTTTTGTACAGTGTAACGGAAATTTTAATCATCGAGACTGCTTTCGGTGATGAAAGGTAAGCCCAAACGCAGGAGAAATTATTACGTGCGCAGTGCAGACGGGGAGAACCGTCCGCACACTAGTATAAAATTCAGCTAGGTACCATTCGATACCGCTAGGTACCACTAGGTACTGCTTGGTACCATATGTGTGTGCAGACAGTGCTCCTCCGTCCGCACTCCGCAACTAATATTTTTTTCCAAACGCAGAAAGGAGTTTCGATGATTACGAGTTCTATTTAAAATGTATTTAAGGGGCTTTTTTGCTGTAAATTTTAATTTGGTTAAATGGGACCCAATCAAGAGAGGGCCAAGAGGTTTTTGGGATAGGCACTTCTTCTAGATGGCAAGCCGCCAAACTCCCTTTCGAGGGGGTAAAATTATAAGTAAAAATGTAGAGATTTTGTTTTTCATATATATATCATTTTAGTGACTAATGATTATTTGTACTTGAATACATAATACATTTTTAAAATATCATAAACATCTTATATAATGACCATTATTCTTAAACAAAAATTATGTAACACCTCTACACAATTTGTCGGGGGTCCAAGAGGGCAACGGCCCCTAATAGGGTTCGACCTGAAACAAAGTTTGGTTGTAAGGATATTTTTGGATTCTCTTTACTATTTCTCTTTGTATTTGGTTCATCGTTTCCTAAAAATAATGCCTCAACACGATGTGTTTAATTATGCTGGGGCAATTGCCTAAAATCTCGTGTAATAACACATCTACACAATGTGTATAATTTTGTTATGGGGCAAGATTATAAATCGCCTAAAGATCATAGCATTTTAATTTTTTTAGGGGGGGCAATTGCCTAAAGATTTCTATAATAAAGAGTAAAAAAAGATGGAGGGGGACAAATTACCTAAAAATTTATCTAATAAATAAATTTTTAATTTTTTTAGGGGTGGCAATTGTCCCACTGGACACTTAAGGGTTCCGCCCATGTTAACAGATTGTTTGCATATAATTTTAAAATTTAAGATTTTGGCTTTTGTTGGGACAAATTTTTACTATTTTTTGTTTTTATATTTTTTTTTGCTAAAAAAATTTGTTTTAGAAAACAGAAAAAAAAGTTGTGCCAAAAGAAGCCTTAATCCAAGGAGAAAAAGAAAAAATGGGTAGTAACATAATTTCTATTTAAGTCTTACTTCCCCGTGATTTACTAATTCCATAATTTAATCTAAAATAGGAGGAAAATTGAATTTAAGAAGATAATAAAATTTAAGTTGCTCAAAAAATTATTCAGCAAGATTTACCCAAAATCCTTACTAAATCTTGCAAAAAAACAGCCCCGAGCTTTTGCATCTTTTCTCTTTATCTAGTTAATCTCCCGAATGCCACGCCCAAATTTCCCTATCTCATCTTATTGATCTTTGTGATTAGATATTTTACTGTTGAACTTAGATTGCTCTATTGCAGGTTCTGGATAGTTACTTTACGTCTATATCAAGTAGAAATTAGGAGACCATCTTTCATTTCTCGTGTACTTTGTTACCTTGATGGCCTACCAATCTGCTTTATGTCTGATTCAGAGCACTGTTATTCTGTTTGATTCTATCTGTTTGAAGACTGCTCAACTCTCTCACTGAAAAACGGTGACTATTATTTTATATAGTTTGATTTAGATTGCTGTAAGAGAGTTGAGCAGCCCAATTCTATCAAATTTGGCAGATATCAATTTTTCTTCTAATTCATGTTTGATTGCATTGAAAAGTACTTCTTTGGGTTGTTTGAACTTTGAAGTTTGTTCTTCTGTAGCATTTATCAAGGGTTAGAGAACTCCGGCATTGCATGAATGCTTCCTAAGCTACCTTAGATGCTCGTTAAAAAGACGTGAATTTTATATATTGGTGATTCTTTCACAATTTTCTTAGGGAAGTAAATGTTGCACACTAGCTTATAGAAATTTGAAAGCTAATGAAGTTTGCTACAATATTGTTTGTGTGTTTAGTATGCTGATTCTCAAAGTTGATGGAGTAAATTAAAATAATTTTAGGACTTTATGCAAGTACCGCGGGAAGAACATAGCCTTTCATGTGAATGAAGGTTCCACAGACTACTGGCTATCTCTTCTTGTGGAGTTTGAAGATGGTGATGGAGATATCGGATCAATGCACATTAAACCAGTAAGTTTTTAACCTTCATTCTATGCTTAAAGTTTTATCTAATAAGTAATAGAGAGAAACATTTATTTATTAATCTTTGTATTACGATACAAATTTAATCTCCTACTTGTTGTCTTCAATGTTTAATATAGCATGCAAAATATGTGTCTGTTGTCTATTAAAAGAAGTTAATGCTTTAGGTCTTTTCAATGTGGGATCTCACAAGAAAATGATAATACCTTAGCCTTGCACTGCCAAGAAGCTGAGTGTGATTAAAACTTTGAACCTCTTGCTCAATTGTTTATTCCAACACAATATTACTATGCTTAGTTCATGAGAAGGAATTTTAGAATATTAAACTTATTTATGGGTACCGAACATTTGAGATTATAGTTAGGTAGTGATGCTTCTTGCATACTCCTGATGAATATAGCCTTAAAATTGCATTGCCAAGAAGTTAGTTGTGATTTGAACTCATTACCTCTTTTGTTAGTTTCAATCAGATATTACTATTTTTTTTTTTAATCAGATATTACTATGTTTAGTTGATATAGAGAAATTTTAGAATATATGCTTGATTCATGGGTTCTGAACATTTGAGCATTAAGTTAGGTTAATGACGCATTTCTAGTCTAAACCTGATATGACCTTACCTGCATTTCCTATTGTGCTTGTTTTTGTATATTTCACAGAGCATGCATTCTTCAATTTTAGCATGAGGGCCTCCGATAGGAAACACTTGAAGATCTCAAGTGAAACCTAACAATTTTGACAAAATCAACGAGAATATTTAACAAGTAGAAGAAAAATCAAAGAAAAACAGCCTACTTTATTGAGAAAAATCAACTAATGGAAGAAAAACAAACAAGATACAAGTGATCCTCAACTCGAGAGGATGATCAATCTCTCCCAATTGTCTAGACGCCGCTAGAACCCAAAGGAAACCTAAACCTAAGAGATCTCAAATTTCAACCAAATTCAAGATGCCCTAACCCCTAGGAAAACCAATTATTTAATGCATCAATTCAAAAGAAAATCTCTAAACAGTCTCTACATTCAAATTTCTCTCTCAAATCTCTCAAAAATCCTTCCAAAACAGCTCCCTAACCCTTGCGACTTGCATTCGACGCATACAGGAGGTGGACATTTCTGCCTTTGTTCGTGTAAGCTGGTAGTCCCGTCGGACCTGCTGGTCGGTCTAATGGACTGATCTAACAATAATCCCCTCCCAAAGATCCACCTTAACCGCAAGGTGGAATGACGACACCCTCATCCATTCCTTCTTCATCACAAACGGTAAGAACCGAAAGTGTTCAGTCCTTACACCTGTGCCCCGGCGTATACCTCTCGTCACATCTGAAACAAAGACCAAGATACAAGTGATCCTCAATTTGAGAGGAGAAATGATTTCTCCCAATTCTCTAGATGCCGTTAGAACCTAAAGGAAACCTAAACCTAAGTGATATCAAATTTCAACCAAATTCAAGATGCTCTAACCCTAGGAAAACCAACTATTTAATGCATAAAATTCAAAAGAAAATCTCTAAGTAGTCCCTACATTCAAATTTCCCTCCCAAATCCCTCAAAATTCTTCCAAAATATCTCCCAAATCCTTGTGGCTTGCGTTCAGCCCGTATAGAAGGCAGACATTTCTGCCTCTGTTAGTGTAAGCCGGTCCTATCAGACTGGCTGGACCGGTCTAACAACCTCTTCTTTAATCATTTGAGACGAGCACTACTATAGAGCAACTCCTATATACATGGTGGTTGTCATATATTCTATAATGCATGACTTGTTTAATTTTAACAAGAGGATCTGACACAGGATAAGTGGGTCGACAACTCCTCGTTGACGATATGGTGAATGTAGTCGAGCATAACTCCAAGAACTTCTTAGTAAAAGAATCCACCACTTGAAATCAAATCTCAGGACACAAGATTCGAAGTAATCGGGCAAAAAGCCTACATTTTATTATTCTAAAAAATATGCTCCATTACAAACAATATATATATATATATAACTTATTGGCTACTTACAAGGCTACAAACTCAACACAAGAACCCAACTAACTCTTGAAACATTATTAGCTACATTATATATGGGCTGAAGTTTAACATAACCCGAGAATGTCATAAAATATTAGTTTTGCCCCATTCGCTACTAGCAGCTTTGGCGTAAGTCTACTAGGGTAGGAGAAACTTTAGGCTCATAGTGAGATGACAGGTTGGAAATAATAAGGCGGCGGGTTTGATTGACTAATTCGGTCTGGATAGGACCACCCGATGTCATTCTCTTTATCTAGGAGAGACTTCAACATAGGCTGAAGTCGAAAAATAAGATACTGACAAACTTAGAATGCTTCTTTATTATCACCTTCAAATGGTACTCTTCAAGAGTTGATTTGAACTCAACACCAAACTGATCAACCATACAAATATCATCATCCACATGGAGGAGGTTGTGGAGGAGGCGGGAGGAGGTTGTGGAGGAGGCGGAGCAGTTATATTTAGATGTGGTGGAGGTGTCTCTGAACTCTGTGGTGGGATTTACCCCAATTCACACCTTGAAGGTAAGGGGGAAAATTGGGGAGCAACCAGTGGAGGTTTTGGTGGATAGTGGAGCCACTCATAACTTCATTTCCAAGCGGTTCGAGGACCAGTTAGGATTGAAGCTAGTGGATACAAGGAGTTTTGGCGTCATGATGGGGACAGGAAAGGTAGAGAGGAGTGAGGGGATTTAGAAGGGAGTGGTGCTAGCGCTCAGAGGCTTACAATTAGTGGAGGATTTTCTTCCCATGGAATTTGGAAGCACTGATGTCATCATTTGGATGAAATGGTTACAGACCATTGGAGAGACCAAGGTGGACCAGTCTTTGACTATGGAGGTGCAAGTGGCAGGGAAGAAGGTGCTGCTACGAGGGGATGCTAACTTAGGCAAGACCATGGTCTCACTTAAACCCATGGTCAAGGCGATATGGGGGGCTAGAAAGGGCTATTTGGTAGAGTTGGAGAGTTTGGAGGGGGTCCAAGATTCTCAGACAGACCAGATCCTTGAGTGTGTGCATCAAGTGTTATAGCCATTTCCAGAGGTCTTTCAGCAACCCAATGGATTACCACCCCATTGAGAGCACAAGCATGTGATCTCCTTGAAGGAGGGAGTCTCTCCTATTCGTGTTCGACCTTACTGGTACCCGCAGATCCAGAGAGATGAGATTGAGAGGCTCATCAGAGAGATGCTAGAGGCAGGAATTATTAGACCCAATGTAAGCCTTTTTTTCAGTCATGTTTTACTGGTGAAAAAGAAGGAAATGGCTGTAACACTTAAGGACGACAGGTGGAGGTTATGTATCAATTATAGAGCCTTAAACAAGGAAACTGTGTTGGACAAGTTTCCTATCCCTGTGATCGACGAGTTGTTAGATGAACTATTTGGGACAGTCATCTTCTCAAAGATTGACTTGAAATCGGGATACCATCAAATCGGGATGAAGCAAGGGATGTGCACAAGATAGCTTTCAGAACACACGAGGGTCACTATGAATTTTTGGTGGTCCTCACTAACGCTCCATCCACTTTTCAGTCACTCATGAATCAGGTTTTTCAAGCCTTCTTAGAAAATTTATCTTGGTGTTCTTCAATGACATCATGATCTACAGTCGAATGGAGGCAGAGCATATGGAGCACATGAGGATGTTATTGGAGACATTGAGAGAGCACCATTTGTATGCCAACCTAGTGTTCTTTGTTAGCCTAAGAATCCTCGTTTGCACAACCATATGTAGAGTACTTGGGACATGTGGTGAGCAAGGTAGGGGTAGCAGCGGACCTATCCAAGATTGAGGCTATGCTAAAGTGTCCTTTGCCTAAGAGACTGAGGGAGTTGAGAGGATTCTTAAACCTCATTAGGTACCACCAGAAGTTCGCACAAGGATATGGCACAATAACATGGCCGTTTTCTGAGCAGTTGAAGAAGGACGGCTTCAAGTGAGGCGGATACACATGCTTTCTAGCAACTGAAGAAAGTAATGAGTAGTGTACTTGTGTTAGCACTTCCTGACTTTAGCAGACTATTTATGGTGGAGACAGATACATGAGGATTTGGACTGGGGGCAAAACTTATGTAGGATCAGTGACCGATCGCCTATTTAAGTTAGGTGCTTACAGCAGGGCAAATGCTTAAGTCAGTGTACGCGAGAGAACTGATGGCTATTGTTTTGACCATTTAGTAGTGGTGACCCTATTTATTGGGGCGATACTTCCTCGTCGGAATAGATTAGAGGAGCCTGGAGTATTTGCTGGAACAATGAATGGTCACCGGGGAGCATCAACGATGGCTATCCAAGCTACTAGGATATGATTTTGAGATTCAGTACTACCTGGGCTTAAAAAACAAAGCATATGATGCCTTGTCCAGGAGAGTCAAGGAGCCTAAGTTAGTAGCTTTGTCAGTACCCCTAGTCTTAGATTGGGAAAAGTTGAAATATGAGAGCGAACAGGATGAGGGACTGAGGAAGATCATAGATGAGTTGTTGCAGAACTCGGATAGTCAACCTGGCTACACGCTAAGGTGAGTCTAATTGCTATATCAAGGAAGATTTTTTCTATCGAAGGGATCACGATACATTCCCAAGCTGCTACAGAAGTTTCATGGAAGTGCAATGGGAGGGCATTCAGGAGCATAGAAACCTACAGTTGATTAGCAGTAGAATTATATTAGGTCGGGATGCACAGTGATGTAGAGGATTAGGTAGCTAAATGCGATGTATGTCAAAGGCACAAGTACATAGCCATGTCACCAACAGGGTTTCTACAACTACTAGCCCTGCCGAAGAGGGTATTAGAGGTGACAATGGGCTTTATTGAGGGATTGCCACGATTCGAGGGGTTTTCGGTGATACTAGTAGTAGTGGATCTTTTGAGCAAATATGCACACTTCATTCCCTTTAGGCACCCCTCATTACGGTCGTTACTGTGGCTATTGTCTTCATAAAGGAAGTGGTGCGTCTGCATGGAGTTCTAGAAGTTATTGTGACATACAAGGACAAGATGTTCCTTAGCCACTTTTGGAGAGAGTTGTTTCAGTTACAGGGTATAGTTCTGAAGAGAAGTACAATCTATCACCCCCAGATAGATGGTCAGACAAAAGTGACCAACAAAAGCATAGAGACCTATTTGAGATGTTTTGCATCTGACACGCCAAAGAGTTGATCAAGGTGGCTTGCTTGGGCAGAGTATTGGTACAATACCTCGTACCATTCAGCAGCAAAGACCACTCCTTTTAGGATTCTCTATGGGAATGATCCCCCCATATGATTCATTATGGGCAGAGCACCACACATGTGTCAAGTGTAGAGTAGTACTCAGAGGGGAGGGACAGGATATTATCTGAGCTCAGGGTATATTTGTTGAGAGCCCAACAGATCATGAAAAGGAAGGCCGATGAACACAGGAGAGAAATAAACTTTGAGCCCGGAAATATGATTTACTTAAAATTGTGGCCCTACATGTAGAAAACACTAGCGAGGAGGAATGAGAAGTTATCCCCACGATACTTTGGGCCTTATGAGATCTTGGAGCGCATTGGAGCAATAACCTATTGCTTAAAACTACCACCCTCATCAGTTTTATCCCAGTTTTTCTTGTCTCATAGTTGAGGAAGACGATATGAGAGTAGATATCGTCATTAGTAATTCAGACTTTGACAGAGGACATAGAGGCCATTTTGGAACCTCTGGAAGTAACTGGGTTACGCAGAGGGGAGATCGGGGCACGGGAGGTACTAATTAAGTGGAAGGATGTGCCCAAGCATGACGCCACATGGGAGCCATACGAGACAATCAGAAGACAATTTCTGACCTTCCACCTTGAGGACCAGGTAAATTTTGAGGGGAGTATTATTATGGGAGAAAAGGCAACTGGTTCAACCCCCCTTGTGGTGCCCAATAAAAAATTAATTAAATATAATAGGAGAGAAAATGAGGGAAATAAGAAAGGAAAGAATTCTAATTTTGAAATAGAGAAACAGAGCGAAATTAATTAAGGGGGCTGTTTTTGGGTTGAATTGGGGAGTTCATTTAGGGCTGATTCTAGGATTCATTTTTCATGTTTGGTTTTGAGAGTTTGTTGTATTTTTTCTGGAGTTTTCTTGAGGGCTTCCTAGAGGCGTCTAGGTCAAGTCGGAGATACGATCTACCTCTCTAATATTAGATCATTGTATCTTATTATGATGTCGAAGTTTTAAAACAAAAAATCAATTGTCCTTTCTCAATTTTTGTTGTTTTTATTGTCTTTTCTTGTTGATTTCGTCTTCAAGGCGTATCATAAAAGTAAGACTATAAAAATTTAGCAGTTAAATACGGCTTAAACATAGCTCAGAGAATAAAAATTAGCAAAATGTACCCTAAAATAACGTAAACCCTCTTAAATAAACAAAGTCAAAGAAATTTTGAAATGAGGCAAGTGGCATTGGTTCAAATATCCAAACAGTATGGAAATGCCCACTTTCTCCTACCTTGGTTGTGCAAATCAATCCGTTGAATAGTGCTCACCAAACCATATGGGTGAAATAATGATATCAGATCCTTAAAAAAAAAACTCTAGCAATAAATGAAACAACAACGAAAGCACACACATCTAAAGACCAATCTATAGGTAAAGAGAAAAGTAACAAATGAAATCAGAATAAAAATCAACAATAATCAGAGTAAAATGTTGCCTATCAGAATCGTTAGTAAACTTCTCAACAACAAAGCCATTTAAGCATGGAAGATCCGTAGATGAGCAGCAGAAACAGAAGCAATCTGCCATAAGATGAAAATGCTCATTCAACGGAGTCCAAAAAAGTTTAACCTGTAATGAACCTTTTTTTATTATTAGTAGATTTAAATGAGAATTTGACTCTTAACAAAACACAACGGAGAAAATGAATTCACCACAATTTCTCCATTTGTTAATTTTTAAGTTTACCCAAATTATGATGTTCATAGTAACAACAAATAAACTGGAATCAGTTGGTCAATGAACTCTACCATTCCCCAAAGGCATATCTTATAAACTTTCTATTTAATAATATGAAAATGTCCCTTCCATAAGGTAAGAAGAAATGCAAAACTAACTGTAAAGATTCATGTTGGTTTATGGCTTAATATACTCTCTTATGGGTCGCAAAGTTCATGATTATTAATCTTCTCCGACTAACATTTATTTTGATTTGATAATACTTTTTGCAGTCAACTTCCACTGAGTGGAAAGAGATGAAGCATGTGTGGGGTGCAAGTTGGTGCATAATTGGTGGGCCGCTAATGGGTCCTTTCTCTGTAAAGCTGACCACACTATCCACGCAGAGGACTCTCTCGGCAAGAGATGTGATTCCAAGGAATTGGTCTCCCAAAGCAACATACACATCACGCCTTAATTTCTTTTAACAAAATGCAGGTTTGGGGGAGGCCCTCCAATCTCCAATAGAAAAGAAAAGTAGCCGTTAGGTGGTGGTTGGCACTTTTTAATGAGTAAATGAACTACTTTTGTATACCGTTAAAAGACTAGCCGTTACCCCATCGTTCATCGTCATATAATATTAATAAAAATGCTGTACTTCTAAAAATTGCTACATCAGCTGCTTATGTGGAAGCTGATGTCGTGATGTGGCTCCTTCTCATATTCCGCATAACTTCTCATCTTCATACTTCGCTCAAAAATAAGACATTTCACTCATTTATTTTGAACTTTAAGGTATTTTACCCTTCGATTTTATCTAGGTAGAATGCCTTAGGCTTCGTGTGGGACGGCTTTCTTTTTGTTTTTTGAAGCAGCTTTTTAATAAAAATTTAAATTTTTTGTACTAGAAGTTGTTTTAAGAAGCAGAAAGAAAACCGTCCAAAACGAAGCCTAGTCCTAAGTGAAATGCCTTATCTATGAGCGTGTGAAAGGAAGAGCTTCATGTGGAGAAGAAGAGAGTTATAAGTGTAACCTCATTGGCACTGATGTGATTGCAATTTGGGAAGTATAGCATTAGTCAATCTTAATTCTTAGCATCTTTTATGAGTAGAAGTTTGGAGAGAGTATTACGGGAGGTGTCTGGATTGTCCAGAGACAAATTCGGACGTGTCACATTACCCGGATGTACTAGGCCCCGGATGACGTGACGCTTTCAGATTTACCTCCGGACGAATCCGAATGCCGCACGCAATAATTTTCCAGAAGTGTGAGAGTAAATGTTGTAGTGACACCGTAGCCTTCTCCTAAGGAGAGAGAGCTTGTTTTCTGTCACTATGGCCTTTGGGTATACCTCATTTTGGATGGGATTTCCCAACCTAGCTTAGAGGTATGTATCTGCCATTCCTTTGGTCGAGAACCCTCTGGTTAGGCTGTTTATTTGAAGCTTTCTTAAATCTTGTTTGCAGCTTGTACTAAAACTTTAATTGCCATAATCGTTTTTTTTTTCTATTGTCCAGATCTGGATCCCCTTTTCTGAATTCTACTCACATGCTTACTCTGCTTTCATGTCAGTATTCATTCATTGTCTTCTGATAGGGTTTGGGCCCAGGAACATGTGGATGCTCTTTGTCCAGGCGGGAAGGAAGAACGCTTGCCTTTAATCAGAATGTGCAACTTTATTTTGCCCATCAGGTTTCAGTGAGTGCTTAGCAAGTTGCATCCAAATAAATGCCACATGCATAGAAAGCTGGTTGTCTGCAGCAGTATAGAGGTGACTGGTGGGCCACGAGATTGGTGGATCTCAATTATTAAAAAAATTTCTGAGATAATTATAATATAATTTTTAATGATTATTTATATTTTATAATTATCTCAAAAATAATAAATTTTATAATTTTAAGATACATACTAATTAAAATATGACAGTTTTTTTGAAGCAATTTTTTAGTATAATAATTTTTCATTCAAAAAATTTTTATACTAAAAATATGTTTTAAAAAACAGTAAGAAAATTGTCCCAAAGGAAACTTTAAGCTCTCAACAAATTGCTTGTAAAACAATAATTTTTATCAAACATTCGCTCATCTCAATTGGAACAACAACATCAAGGCTTTATTTCATTATGTGAGGTCAGCTACATAAATTCTTTTTAGAGACATAAATTCTTTTTAGAGTCAAATTCTCATTTAAGTCTAATTAAGAAATGTCATTTTTAATAATTTTTAATTAAGTCTTTTTTAGATCTATCTCTATCTTTCTTAACATAGGTCATGGGAAGGCTGTCATTTTAGATGACCAAATCATCTAATTACTCTCTCTAATCTTATCTGTCATTGGAGATACACCTTAGCATCCTCATCGCAGCAACACTTAATGTTATGATTATCTTTTAATGTCCAGCATTCTATGCCATAAAGCATTGCAGGTCTCATCTCAAAAATAAAAAATTTGGGGCTAAGAGCCACTTGATCACACCAATAAAGAATAAAATCTAATGTATCGTGACAATGGTAATCAGTAGTAAATTTTCAATTATAATCTATCTTAGGTTCGAACTCAATTTATCTGGTAAAGAATAACTGTGTAGAGTAAACTTCAAGTCACTAATGCGTAGAAATAGGCAACTGGCCCAAACAAATAATCTGTTAGTAGAGGTGGTGTGAATAAAATAAGGATCAAGATTGATCCAAAAGTTTAAAGTTATTTGGCATTTTAATATCAATATAGTTTCTAATAAGTTGGTGTATGATTAAACTTAATATTCTCATATGTTCATGTAACAGTTTAAATTCTTAAATTTCAATGTATTATTCTCTTTGGTCTCATGGTCTCATAATTTTAGCAAATTAGTATAATTTTTCAAGAGGTTATCATCTCGGTAGTGCTTAACTTTGGAGTTTCTCACAAAATTATAATTGCTACACCAAAATGCAACTCGATGTTTAAGAGTTTAATTTTAGTTTCTTAAGAGGTTTTGCAACCTCCTTCACTTAGATAGCTGAGGTCCTCGTCAATTTTCTTAGTCGAGAATCATCCTCCAAGCAGACAAGATTTTACACATAGAGTTCTCATATTTCAAATGTTGTATTGCTCTCATATCATTTATAATAATCCAAACTTTTATATATCAAGATATTGATTGTTTTGGTCTAAAGGCCTCATAATTTAGTCACATTGGTGTAACTCTCCAAGAGGTGACTCATCCTGGAAGTGCTCCTATACGAGCATTTATAACTTTGGAGTTTCTAATAAAATTTCAGCCATTACACCGAAATACATCTCAATGTTTAAATATTTAGTTTTATTTTTCTTTGGGGGTTTCTCAATCTTAATAGTTTTCTACTTATATGATATTTATGGGTTAGCCTTTGCTCCACTTCATATAAAATCTTTTCAACATCATAAAAAATCATGCATCAAATAAAAATGGGGTTACCCCGATAATAAAGGATGCAATGAAGGGATTTGAAAATACATTTTTTACACAAAAAAAGTTCCCTACACAAATAATATGAACAAAATATACAAGACTAAATAGTTAAAAATAAACTAAAATTTTATTTCATCAATAAGAGTACATCAATGTATGAATAACAATAAATAAAAAGAATTGCCCCGAAACCTAAATCTCACGAAGAAATTTTCTTAAAGTATAAAAAATTTTATAAAGCTTTTAATTTTTTTAATAATTATAAAATAAGAGACAAAGTAGATTTAAATTATTAGATAATACAACTAAATTATTAAGTCTTCATAACTATAAGCATGAAGAAAATAAAATCCACTCATTTATTTTACTTTACACCCCTAATACATCATTAGTAAGCTTTATTATACTCATGGGGGGATCCACCCATAGCTTTTGCCCACCCTCAAAAAATTCTTTTTTAATATTTAGAGGGGAGATTTTAAAATATTTTGGGTATTTTGCCCCCCATCAAAAATCTTTTTTGCCTTACTTTTACCAATCCTAAGAGTTTTTGCCCATCGCTCACAAAAAAAATTTTTTTTGCCCACCCTAAAAAAAGAAGTTGGATCCGCCCCTGATTATACTGTATCAAATTGTTTTTATAGGATTTAAAACTCCTAAAATTTAGTTAAATTGAAATTACCAAATTTATTAATTTCTATTTGAATTAAATCCAACCAAAACTTCTAATTCAAGGATTCCTCCCTCTTCAATTGGAAACGGTTCTCGTGGTTTTGTTGCTCCAAACTTCCCATGCGTTCCTTATTTTAAATTTAGTAAAGCTGTCACCGTCCGTCCTCTTTCTCGCACAGGATTTCTCTTCATTCTCTTTTTTGTTTTTTCACAAAGTTGAAATTTTCCACAGGGTGTTCAGGAGAGAGATGGGCCGCGAAGGAGAGAGAGGAGATTGCGAAGAAGAAGGGCTAATGGCTACGGATTTTTTCTGGTCGTACACGGACGAGCCGCATGCCACACGGAGGAAGCAGATCCTCGCCAAGTATCCTCAGATTCGAGAGCTCTTTGGACCCGATCCCTGGGCTTTCATCAAGGTTGGAATCGGATTCTCATGATTTCTGTAGGACTTTTTACCGAATTATTGTGTGGTTTTTACTTGCATTGCTCTTATTTGCTGGCATTTGTTGTTTTATGTGATTATATGGCTTTGTTTTTCGAATTTGTTCTATCGGACCGGAAATTCTTTGATGAGATTCCTGTCGATGATTGATGTGGTTTGCCCTTTTTGTTCTTATCTTTTCAAAGCATAAGTTTTTTTTTTCCTGATTCAAGAAGTTAATAGCCATCTCTTACTGTTTGGGAAGTGGTGCCCTTAGAATTGTTTAGATCAAGTTTGGGAAATGCTAAAACTTCGAGTCTTTCACATGCTGTTCAGTAACCAGCATTTGTAAGATTTGATTGCCGAAGGCAGGCGTTCGATTTGTTTTTTTATCAACCAAAATGACGAATGAAAGCTTATAATATGGACTTTATACTATTGGGCAAATGATATTGGACTTTTTGAGCTAAGTTGGACTCGAACAATATGGGCTTGAGATCGCTGTGTGGTAGATATGGAAATGGAAATAATTAGAACGTTTCTTTCTTGGGAGTTTTACATGCATACCACTTAATACTATTCTATTTATCACTCAACTCCAATATTAATCAATGGAAATAAAGCTCCTTGGAAAGATTCAGACGATTAGGTAGCTTAGGTTACTGGGTGGGATTATATTTTGTTATTTTTTGATTCTTTTGCATCAACTTATTATAGGGAGTGTCTTCCAGTGATTTCTCCATTGAACGAGCTTTGTTTCCACCAAATTGCGCAAATTTCTGTCCTGACTGTAGTCATTTGATATGAACCTGTTTGCCATGGGTTTTCTCGGCTTTTCTCTTGGTGCCATTATCAGCTGTTATATAGTATACTTGAGATTTGATTTTTTTTAAACTAAAATTTGAATTTAACACGAGCATGTGGTATTCTTTTGCTTTGCTTTTAAAATTCTGGCATATCATAACAGAACCTTAAATTGCATTTGCATATTCTCCATGGTTTCATAACCATGGGCAAGGCACTTGCGAAGCAAGTTGTCCACTGTGTTTATAAGTGATAATTTTTACATCTAGCACAGCATATTTGTATATTAATTTTTTAAGGTTACGTTTGTTAAAAAAAGAAGGCTACTCTAATACAACAAATGTTAGAAAAAACCACTTGTTTGTGTGGAAGGCTGGAAGCACCAGCTTGGATTGAGTTTGATAAGCACCAAATAAATGACACCGAAATAAATATTTTCGGTTAAAGCTTATGTCCACAGCAGATGAGAGGAATCAGTCTACAATCAAAAAGCCACAAATGGGTACAAATAAAAGGAGCACATGAAAACAAATCTTCTTCAAACCCAAACAGTTGATCACTTCACTAAGAGAAGCTTGAAATTTCTAAGCCAAACAAATAGAGAAACCCAACTAATATCTTGTAGAAGTATAAAACACACACACACACACTTAAACCTAGAAACACCACTTAAAGAGCAGAGCAATAAATAAACCAAATGCCAACACTAACAACAAAACCAGAGACAATAAAAACCATCTTCAGTTGAACAATCCACAAACAAACTGGATCCCATCAACAAAAACTTGAAAACATAAAGCTTCATCAATCCTCTAGAAGATAATCTGACATAACAGAAATAAGCTAACGCCAACTGACTAGAAAAATCAGAAACTCCCCAAAGAGAACAAAACATAAAAAATCACCACCAAACCTAAACCTAAACCAAACAAAACAGAAAAATTATAAAAACAAGAGATCCAAAAAAGCAAGGGCCCAACCAACCAGGCTCAGAAAGGGAGAATGAACCTTCTTAAAAAAACACCTCACACAAAGAAAATTAATCAATCCTTGGTTGCAAAAATCGACCATTCAAAGTTAAAAACCTGGTTGCCGAAATAAAAACCTTTCAATAAATGACTGAAGGCCCCCATCATCATAGCCCAAAAACCCCAGAGAACCAAAACCCAACAAGAAAAACCCAAACACCCTATCTAAGTAGAAAATGTTTATTGCAATGAAAGGAATTCCAATAAGAAATTTTAGCTAACAAAGCCTTATTAATGGAACAACCAACTAAATCAGAGCTAGACTAAATTATTTTCAAATCTCTTGAAATTCCTTTCTTTCCAAATGAAATAAATAGAACAACAAACAAAAAGAAAAAAAAAATCACATTAGAATCCAAATGAAGAGTAGAAATATAATCCAGTAATTGAATCAAATTAGCTCTAAGCATTAAAAAATTAATATCATGAAAAAAGTTTGTGATAATTCTGAAGGAAAAATCACATTAGAAAAATAAATGATTATGACTCTCTTCAGCATTTAAACAAAGGATACAAGAAGTAGGAACGTTCATATTTCTCTTAACAAGAATATTAGTCGTTTTAAGACCATTCAAGATAGCCATCCGAGCATAACAAGAAAATCTCATAGCATATCTTTTATGCCAAATATAAAAACACCATTTCACTTTAGTGAAGTTATCATAAAAAGTATTGTAAAACATTTTGAAAGAAGGAAGAACCCCATTCCAAGAAATATTTGAAGCTTGCTGATCATTAATGGAAATATAAGAAACAGTTGAACTAATAGTTGTAGACAAAGAAATTTGCAAATTCCAGCAACCATGTGAAATCCATTCCCTCAACTTGCATTTACATAAAGAGGAATTCAGATTAATTATAGCAATCTCAACAGTCTCATATAGAGATTTCCCCATACACCAAGGATCTTAATAAAGAGAAGAGAGCTATTAGGAAAAATATTGAATAAAACCTCACTTTTAATATCTCTAGAATAAGATGTAATATTTTTCCAAAATATAGAAACATACTGAGACCAAGGCTTACAAAAAGGGATATACTTAAATTTTATCCAAATAGCCAAATAACTAATGCCATTAATGATCCTCCAAATAATAGAACAACTATAAGCACAATAAAGAGCTTATGGATCAAAAATACTAAGACCCCCAACATCTTTAGGCTTGCAAACATCTTTTCAGACAATGATATGAATCTTCCTACTAGAAGAATCTCCATGAAAAAGAAAATTAGAACAAACCTTTCTTATAAATTTAAAATAGAATTTAGGAAGAGAAATACCCCTAATCCATTAAGAAATAGCATTCGAAATAGTAAATTTAAGGAATTGAACCCTTCCAGCAAAAGATAGCAATTTAACTTTCCAACCCACCAAAAGCAAGATAATACGACTAAGTAAAGACTGAAAGTCCGAAATCTTATGCCTTTAATATGAGAAAGGCAAGCCCAAATATTTTAAAAGATATAAAGAAGCACAAACGCCAAGAGTTTGACTAATAACATCTACTAAATGACAATCTTTAGAGAGAATGAGAGAACTCTTAGCATTATTAATGAACAAAGCAGAAGCTGAAGAGAAATAAACCAAAATTAAGCTTGCTAGCATTCTCAATAGAAGCTTTGCCAAAAATGAGGAGATCATCCGCATATAAAATATGAGATAAAGAATAATCACTCGCCTTTACGCCCTCAAAACTTTCATTATGAGAGTTATCATCCAGCAGATTAGAAAGAGCATCCATAACAATACAAAAAAGATAAGGAGAAAGAGGACAACCTTGCTAAAGACTCAAAGAAGAACTAAAAAACCCATGAAGAGAACCATTAAGAATAATAAAAAAATAAACATCATTAAAAATTTGAGGAAAACCTTTCCAAACCATTCTAGCTAAAAAAAATTATGGAAATAGTATCAAAAGCCTTAATAAATATCTAATTTGGCATAAAAAAACTTTTCTTTAGAAGAAGAATTGAATTCTCTAAGAAGTTCAGCAACAATTATGATATTATCCGTAGAAATCTTATTTTTAATAAAACCAGTTTGACTATTATGAATAATAAAAGGCATAACTCCCAACAATCTCTTAGCCAAAATTTTTGCCACAATCTAATAAAAAATATTACATAAAGAAATAGGCCTAAAATTCGAAACACTGGTAGCATTGTTATTTTTAGGAATTAGAGAAATAACAGTAGCTTTAATAGCCCTTGGCATAAATCTAGAATTAAAATAATAAATAACAACTTTACAATGAAGAGGTCTAACAATCTCCCAAGTATTCTTAAGAAATTCAAAAGTAAAACCATCTGGACTCGGAGTAGCAGAATTAGGACTATTAAAAACAACCTTCTTAATCTCTTCAAACAAGATCGGAAGAATCAAAAAAGATCTAATAAATTCAGGAATAACATTCCCGGCCGGTATGTTGAAAGAAGAAGCAAAAACCAGATTGGGAGAATTAAAACATACTTAAAATGTTGCTTAAAAACATCAGAAAGGCTTTTTGGATCCGAGATAATCCCTTGAGAGGAAACTATATCATGAATCTTATTAGAATTTAGTCTGCACCTGATTTTAGAGTAGAGGAAACCGAAATCGTCTTCTCCACAAGACATCCATTTCAATTTAGCCCTTTGAATAATCCAAGAAAACCAATAAGACATTATTATTAGAAATAATAAGAGGGGAGTAATCATAATAAAGAGGATTATCAACTAAATAATAAGAAAACGGAAAAAGATCCAACTAAGAATTATTAACAAACATCTTATCCAATTTTATATGAATAGGATTCTCTTTACTGATTGAACCAAGTAAAAAAATGACCAATAGAAGAAAGCTCAATAAGACCAGAATTAAAAACGAATTATTAAATTCTCCCAATTTGTTACATGAAAGAGAATTACCACCAGACTATTCTTTAGCAAATATGCAACAATTAAAATCTCCTAACAAAATCCACGACGTAGAAATATTACAGGATAAATGAAGAATATCTTTCTAGAGATTAACCCTTTCAACAGCCAAATTGGAAGCATAAATAGCAGCAATAAAAAAAGAAGTTGACCCAAACTTAAGAATACCATGAATTAGTTGATTAGTAATAAGAGTAGAATTAAAAAAAATACACGAAGCATTCTATTTTAATCAGATCCTACAAGCATTAGAAAAAAATTAAAATTATGACAACAACCTTCTTGCTGAAAAATTCTATGCTTTGCTTCAAACCACAGATTACCAACAAGATCCAGCTTGACTTTAGCTCAAGAATACTACAGAAATTCATATTAAATTTTCTAACAATATTATCCAAGCAATTAAAGCTTCTCACATTACAGGAAATTAAAATTGGAAAATTATTAATGCTTAATTTTCAAGATTGATGCCTTCCTGGCAATTTTCGATCTAGTAGATTTACTAGCAGCAATTGGAACTTTTTTAACTAGAATGATCTATAGTAGGAATAGTAGAAGAAGAATCCTCCTGGTTAGTTAAAACATAAATAGAGTCACATTCCTTAAATTCATGATGACCGCCATCCAGGATATCCAAAACCTAAAACTTATTATGCGAATTAGAATCTTGAACATAAATATTTGAATTAAAAAGAGAAGTAGAAACAACATATGCATTATTTAAATTGAAATTGGAAGCCATCTCTCATATGTAGAAAAATTTAAATTGGGTAAAGCCTCGTTAGAACACGAAGAGGAGGCAACCATATTCTTAGAATTAAATTCAACAGATAAAACACCTGAATCCCTCAAAATATTGGAATATAAATGCAAATTATCTTGAGAATCATTAGCAACCCGAGAAGAATGAGAAATTCTTGAAATGGGTTTAGAAAGAATGGGGGCATTAGATGTTATTTGAGGATTCAGATTTTGATCAAAAATTTTTTGAGAAGCAGGATTATTAGAAAAGGAAGGTCTCACAGAACGTGAAGCCTCCTTCTAGACCCTTATGCTTATGCTTCTTCCCCTACTAGGTTCCAGATTTTCAATGGAAACATGCAGCTTAGTAGGACACAACGAAGAGGGGTGCAAAATAGATCCACAGCTTTGATAAGGAGTAGGCTTCCAATCGTAAATAATTTTTAACAAAAAAATATTACGTGCAATCAAAATATTGACTTCATTAGGAAGGTAAGAATCTTTAGAAGCTAAAATACAAACTCGAGCAAATTTAAGCCAAGCTTGCTCGGCTGTTAGATAATCCACAGCAATAGGAACCCCAATCAAACCTCTGATCTTAGAAATGCCCTCAGGAGTCCAGCAGACTAAAGGAAGATCAAGAAATTTAATCCAAAGAGGAATATAAGTAAATTCTTCGCTCTTAGGTCAAAATAAAGTCGACCATTTCTGAATAATGAATGGTTTTCCAAAAAAAAAATCAAGGTTCAACCAACCAAACTAAACCATAACCTTCAAGGCAAGAAAATTTCAAAAAAAAAAAACCTTTGTTTAAAGCAAAAAGTGTAAAAACTTTTCAACTTCTAGATCTTAAGCTTGATAGATTTTAAGGCTCCAAAGTGAGGCTGCTTACCCAACGAACTTACCACAAGTCTTTCTTTCGACCCCGGGTCTTAATATTCGATTTAGGCTCAAAAGAAGGTTGGCACAAAAGCGATAGACATGAAATTCAATAGAAGATGACGCCTGCAAGGACAGCTCATGGCTAAAATGAATGAAGTGAAGCCAATTTCTCTAGGCCCAGAATCGAAAGAAGAAACCATTGAAAGCTGTCCAAAGGGAAGAGAAAGAGCTAGAATATGCCTTATGTTTGCAGGTTTGACATTCTCTTTAGCAAAGAAGAAAGCACTACTTCTTCAATGCCAGCAGTGTGAGGCAGTGAGCTCGGGAAGTAAACTCTTTCAGTTGCTGTTCCGTAAGCCCTATTCACTCCTAGATCTACCCATTTTTCAGAGGCAGCCAAAACATCAACTTTAGAGAAAATAGCAAGAATATCAGTAGAAGACACAAAAGAAACAGAAAAGGTTTGGGTGAAGATTGACGAGACGTCAATAACCCATTCAAAGCTTTCATGCCTGATGGGGACATTCTAATTGTAGAACTTGGATTCAAGGCTGATTTTAGAAGAGGAAAATCAATGGAAGAATCCATGTAAAGCAAGATTAGAAAAAGAAGAGCCTCTCAAACAACAAAAAATCCTAAAGAACCATCAGGATAGAAGAAGAAGAGCCACTTGAATGAAGAATCGCCTAGGGTTTGCAAAAAACCCTAGACTCTCTAATCTCTTTTCGAATACGGTTTTCCCGTTTCTAAATCACAACAATATTTTGTCCTCTCTCAAGAGTCTTAGACAAATATTCACCCCAGGTTTATAAGGTACCATTTGACAAAACAACCCGCAGTTGTCAACAAGGATTCTCTATCATGTTAGGTCGACTACTTCATCTAACTAAGTAGACCAGGTATCATGATGAGCCAGGACGATGGAACCATGGGATCTTGATCGGGTTTATGATCAGTTCCCCACTATGATGCACGGACACGGACACGACACGACACGGACACGGACACGGGACACGGCAATTTTTAAAAATATAGGACACGGGTGCGGCGTGGACACGACATAATATTTTTTTAATATAATATATAATAATTTTTAAAAATATAGGACACAGACATGGCGTGGACAGATGGCTCTTTTGAACCTTTACCTAATCCACCCCCGCTAGTAGCAGAGCTCATTTTGCTAACAAACCAATCATACATATGAATACATCAAATTAAATTGATATGAAGTGAAATCAAAATATCCCAATAATAAGACAACATGAATACAACAATATACCAGTCTGCCGGGGGTCCAAGGGGGCGCTGCCCCATGGCGGGGTTCGACCTGCCCGGTCAGGTCGCGGGGTCAAGGGGCAGCGCCCCCGGAACAAAATTTTATTGTAAGAGTAATTTTGAAGTTCTGCTTGTTTTTAAAGTTCGTAAGTTGTTTCTATGGGAAGATACCGAGTGGTACCGAGCATGTACCTAGCAGTACCGAGCATCTACCTAGCAATACCGAGCATGTACCTAGTGGTACTAAGCGGTACCGAGCATGTACCTAGCAGTACCGAGCATGTACCAAGCGGTACCGAGCATGTACTGAGTGGTACCGAGCATGTATTGAGCAGTACCTAACAATACCGAGCATGTACCTAGCGGTACTAAGCGGTACCGAGCATGTATCTAGCAGTACCGAGCATGTACTGAGCGGTACCGAGCATGTACTGAGCGGTACTGAGCATGTACTGAGCAGTACCGAGCATGTACTGAGCAGTGCCGAGCATATACTAAGCAGTACCGAGCATGTACTGAGCAGTACCGAGCATGTACCTAGCATATACCTAGCAATATCGAGCATGTACCTGGAAGTACCAAGCATGTACCTAGCAGTACCGAGCATGTACCAAGCGGTACCGAGCATGTACTGAGCGGTACCGAGCATGTACTGAGCAGTACCGAACATATACTGAGCAGTACCGAGCATGTACTGAGGGGTATCAAACATGTACTGAGCGGTATCGAACATGTACTGAGCGATACCGAGCATGTACTGAGCGTTACCGAGCATGTACTGAGCAATACCGAGCATGTATTGAGCAATACCGAGCATGTACTGAGCGGTACCGAGCATGTACCTAGCGATACCTCATTTAATAACCGGACATGCGTGTCCGACACGCGTGTCCGATTTTAATTTTAATTTTTTTAATTGCGACACTCCAATGCCGTGTCGGACACGTGTCCGACGTGTGTCCGTATCCGACACGTGTCCGACACTGCATACCCTCTCTAAGTGTTGTGTCGGTGCATCATAGACACCATCTGCTTTGAAGTGCAATGTGGTGACCTATTTTAAATATTAAAATTTCAAATACTAAAATCATGTTGATACTATATGCTAGATACTATGTATCTGTGTATAATATGTATCTATTTGACAACTAGCTTTAAGCGAAAGTTCTATCTCGTTATCTAGACTAGTAATTAACTATAAGGGCTTGAGCCTATAGGAAACCTGAACTCAGATCATAAAGTCTTCGTAAAATGAGGACGAAATCTCTAGTTAATGTCTTATTCAAAACCCAATCTGTCTTCTAGAAATTTGCCTCTGAACTTATCTCATTAAAACCCGAAAGAAAGAAGGCCAACATGTGATTTTTTGGAGCCCACACTAACCATTCTTCACTCAATCTGCTTATATTATCACACCCTCAAACTTCACAATCACACACAAGTATTGAATTCTTAACATTCTCAAAGCTAATGATCTCTTCATACAATATGTTGAAAAAAAAAATTGTAAGAGGGAGGGAAAGAATAAAATGTCTATAAAATTTAATCCTCATAATTAATCATCGCATTTATACTCTTAAAATTCCTAATAATTGAATTAATTGTAAGCACACCTTTTTTGTACAAAGCAAGTATGGGATTTCCTCCTCTTCTACGCTCATGTTCTCTTGCCTCTTTGAATGCCTTGTTATTGCTTTCTCAAGTCTCTATTAAATTTGCATAACATGTATCTAATTTCACCAATCCCTAAATTTTTACGATCCATCAAATTTCTTTTTTCATTGTCATATTATTCATTAGGCTTTGGCCCTAATTTATTGAAACAAGAAGGCTAGTCAAATATCAAATGATAGAACAAAAAACTCACTGTGCGTAAGCGTCCACCAGGATTGTATTTCCTGAACTATACTTTGTGGTTTTTAGAACATAGATCTTGTCCTGTTTGTGACCTTAATCTGCCATGTTCAAGCAGCTAACAGTTTGATTATGGCTTCTCAGAATTAGTTTTAGTTTCTCCATTTACATGTCTCTGTGATGCCTTTCTGCATCCAAGTTCCGTAGCAATGCATCTGCATTATACAATTTCTAAATTTACACGAGCTGTGCATGTTAGTATGCACTAACGTTCAAATATTAAGCCTTAAAATATCCATTATTCTCCACTGCAGATTAATGCAGCTGTTCTCATTCAACTATGGACAGCAACCTACCTTTGCAGTGCTAGTTGGCTGAAGATACTTACAGTTGCATACTTCTTTGGCTCTTTCCTCAACCACAACCTCTTCCTTGCCATCCATGAGCTAAGCCACAACCTTGCCTTCTTAACCCCTTGCTACAATCGCTGGCTGGGGATCTTCGCCAATCTCCCCATTGGCGTTCCGATGTCCATCACATTTCAAAAGTACCACCTCGAACACCATCGCTTCCAAGGAGTCGACGGCATTGACATGGACATTCCTACCTATGCTGAGGCTCATGCTATCAAGAATGCTATCACCAAATCCATCTGGGTCATCTTGCAGCTCTTCTTCTATGCGTTCCGGCCGCTCTTCCTAAAGCCGAAGAAACCAGGCATGTGGGAGTTCATTAACCTTCTAATCCAGGTTTCCATGGACTCCTGCATGGTATATTTCTGGGGATGGAAGTCTCTTGCCTATCTTATCCTATCAACATTTGTTGGTGGAGGAATGCATCCAATGGCTGGTCACTTTATCTCTGAGCACTATGTGTTTCGTCCAGGACAGGAGACTTATTCTTACTATGGCCCTCTGAATCTTATGACTTGGAGTGTGGGTTATCACAATGAGCACCATGATTTCCCCAGAATTTCAGGAAGCAGGCTTCACAAAGTGAAGGAGATAGCGCCAGAATACTACATGAACTTGTCGTCATACAGATCATGGAGCCAGGTGATCTACATGTACGTCATGGATCGAACAGTAGGACCCTTCAGCCGGGTGAAGAGGAAGTTGGATGCAAAAGTGAAGAAAGCAGCATAGATTGCTCACCTGCTATTTGCTTGGTTCGACCAAATTCGATTTTCTTTTGATGTTTATATCATTTTTTTTAAGAAACATTCTTATAAAATTTTGTATTTCTGTTAGCGGCTGATCTAATGAGTTCAGTTGTGTGATTTCTGTTGTGTAATATTATTTATTCGTTATTTGAGTAGTATACTGAAGTCTTCCTGGTCCATCATATTTGGTTGGTTATTATTATTATTATTTTTTCACCAGAGATATTGATGATGATCGGTGAGTGCCAAAAGCATTGAATGGTTTCTCAATTTATATAATGCTAGTAAATGCCTGTGCGTAAATTGAATTCAAATTGAAAAATAAGCCCATGGGGCAATTTAAAATTATTCAGCAACCTGTTCATGATCCGTCATTGTAGATTCAACAGCAGATCTTTCTCCTCATTCAAGTGTGCTGTTCCATTCAACATTTGAACATAGACTTGGCCGTTTTCTTCTTGCTTTGGATCGCTGCAACAATGGGTAAAATTTTAAAGTATCTTAATAATCTAATTTATGCGGTTAACCAATGAAAAAAAAGAAATTTTGATATCGCTAAAGTCGCCCGTTTATCTTAAAGAACAAATTGTCTGTTAAACGGGCGACTTACCCTTGTCACTTTTATCACATGAAAAGCTCTATTTTTCGATTTCGTCTCTCTAACAATCCACAACTGCCAAGTCCAGGCGAGGAGCATTGTTCTTATGTATGGCATTAAATTGTCTTTAGATGATAAGTATGTATCAACATATTTTGGGGGAAGTTATCATCTCTTGCAAGTGCCAGCTAACATGGACTTGGAGCAGTTGAAGTTTAGGATACTCAAAGAACTGAAGTATAATACATCGAAGTATACAACCTTCCCTCCAAAGTTTGGATCTTGCCCCTCCATCCACTTTTCGCCCATGGATCCTAGCTTCGTTAGAGTTGATTGGTGTGGGAAGGTTGACAAAGATTGGGCATTGTACCACCAATCCTAAATTGCTATGTGGGAGAGCAAGAGAGCAAGCATAATAGCAGCAGAGGTTCATGGTCTTGACTATGACTACAGAGTGACTAAGTACTTGAGCACATTCAAATTTTGGGCAACACTATATATGCTTAAGGCACTGATGGATCTTCCAAGAATATATTATCCCAAACCACCATCAAAATGGCATATGGTGAGTATCCTTTTATTAAATTACATTATCTACTGTTGAACTTAACAAATTTTACAAATATGTGTTGTGTGATCTCTTTCTGACAATGGAGAGGAGATTACAACCATATATTGGAGGGACTAAGGATACAACCATGCAACGGGATGCTTTTTTTGTAGGTGACTTATGTCATATGATAGAATGAGCTGCATGATTGTATGATTTTGATGAGTTTTGATTGTACGGATTTGATTTGTATCAATTTTGTGCCCGAATCCTTAAGAGAAATGTACGAACACACCTAAGATATGACAACTGAAATATGAAAATATTTAATAAAATTTACTGCTACTCTCTATATGACAAGACAATACATACCTACAAATATAATTTGGTGATACACCATAATTTGATAGGCAACTTTAAAGCTCATATAATATGACTTCTCCCTACAACTTACAACTCAAAAAAAAAAAAAAAAATTAGCTCAATAACTATGCATCTGTAAACCATATCTTTAAAACTTAACATTGAATGACTAATATATATATATATATATATATATACTTTGGCGATTTCAAAAAAAAAAAAAAATTCCGTTGATTAGCTAGTTAAATTAGATTAATTAGATACTTAGTTTAAAAATTTCTACAGCACTGAAGACTCTAGATAAGGTTTCGTTATATCTTCTATGTTGTACTATTAATTTGGTTTTCACTGCTTCATTAATGTGAAAAAAAGAGAAGTAGGACAGTTTTAAATAATAGGGTCCAGTTGTGTTTTTTGTGCCAACCTTAGGACAAGTCAAACTTGGCAAATGGGCTACATGCCATGGAAAACCACTGTGGAAAAAGTTGATCTTGATCATTTTGAATAAAGTCAAGCAATAATTTTGGCCCTGTTTGGATAGTGAAAATTCAGATGAAAGAAAATAAAAATGAAATCAACATCTCATCTAACATGAACATCAATTGAATAAAAACAAATTTTAAAGAGTTGATTTAGAGTAATCCTAATTTCAATTTCAACAAATTTATAATGAAAATAAACGTTTCGGTAAGATTAGCTTAACAACATGACAAATGTCTTGATTTGAGTCCATATGAATGACCAAATGATTTTTAAATACTAGGGGCATATAGTCAAAATGAGTTTTTTGACAGGAGAAATTTAATAAGGTTAAGATATCTCAATTCCAATATCATTAAGTCATTTAAGTGCTTAAGAAATAGTTTATGATTGAAGGAACAACATGGGCCGGATAGAATGTTTGAGAATCCTAAATAGAATGACTCCTTTGAAGTCACAAATTATAGATAAAGGCTTCTTTTAGGCCAACTTTCTTACTATTTTTTAGAATAGATTTTTAATGCATTTTTAATAAAAATTTTGTACTAGAAGTTGCTTTAAAAAATAAAAAAAAAGCCATCACAAACAAAACTTAAGTTGAAATTGTGTTTTACTACTTAATTCTCAACCTTCCTAATCTTATAAGTTTTGTAGGTTGCAATATTTGCTTGAAATATAGTCCACAAGAACATTATCTCATCCTCTTGATTCCAACCTTAATTGAGTGTTTTCTTTTTCTTTTTCTCTCTGTTCTTTGTATCATTAATGTATTAAATTTATTCTTATTCTTTTAGATTTTGGATGCCCCTCTTGAACTTTGCCACTAGTTAGGTCCATATCATGAAACCATCTGATTTGCCCCAATAATTACTAGTGCTCACCATATTTCTAAGCTTGTAAAATGCAGGGTTGGTTAAATTTTTTTTGGAGGGGAATGGGGTATCCACCCGTAGTTACCCCCGAAAGGGTGCTTGACAGCATGACTAATCCTCGGCTTACCTAGAAGAGGTACACACCCTAGAAACCTCCTGACTCGCACCTGATTGGGCCCCTCTTAAGAGGTGCTGCTGCTCGAGGTGAATCGAGCACGAATTAGGAGGTTCTCAACAATATTCGACCATCAACCAAGCTATAAATTGATAGGTGGGTTGGTTAATTTCAAAGCTTGTATGTACTCGTATTTGTGATCCTTTCATTTGGTTTTTGTTTGTGAAGGAATTAAACTGTCAGTCATTCTCTCCTTTTGTAAGCCAAAGTATTTTGTTTAACTGTCAATCATTCTCTCCTTTGTTTGTTATTAGGGGTGTTTATTTGGGTTAGCAGGTCGGGTTTGGGTCGAACCTGAATTGACACAGCTTTAAACGGGTCAACCTGAACCCTACCCATTTTTGTAAACGGATCGACTTTTTCAACCTGGACTCGACACACGCGGGTTGCCTGGTTGACATGACCCGACTCGGATTTTTGAAATACTCATGGTGGCGCAATAGCAGTGGCAGCGGGAGCAACGAAAATACGGGTCGCCGCTTCGCGTTTGGGACGCACTACGGAGTCGGGACGCATGCGCGCGGTACGCGACTCGACGCTTCGCCACTTCGGCCTTCGGGACGTGAGTCGAGGTTTCGGAGTTCAGGCGGCACCGCGCAGACAGCACACAAACTCGGGTTCCACCGGGCAGGTCGGTTGTAAGCTATTGTGCTTTAGTTTCTTATGCATTATGAGGATTCGAAGCAATTATTTCCTCCTTTGAAAAATTCAAGAGTATATTAATGGGTGTGATATTAATAATTACTATTCAGTATTAGTACAAGATAAAGTGATACATGAGTGTAAAATGTTATTATGAATCTATTATACAAAAGAATTATGATATAAATAATGGTATAATTTCTAAAATTAATGTTAAATGAAAAAACATCAAAATATTATTATATATGAAGATTTAATAGATAAATTTCATAAAATTAAGTCAATAATGATTTTGGATTAAAACGTCTGGCATAAAAATTTGCTGATATTTATCTTTATTAAGTGTGAATATTGAGTGTGACGTAACTAACAATGTTAACATAAATATATGAAAAAAATAAGATGATAAATTAAAAATTGCTTACATAATAACTGAAAATATATTTAATTGATTTGGATATGTAGGAGAATGATATACAGTGTGCTCATTAGTGTGGGCTCCGAAAATTAACTCCCCGGCCTCTCTGCGGACCCCTTTCTTTCTTTTCGGGTCGTCGAGGAAACTTTTAATGCTCAAGTTTCGAGGCAAATTTTCAGAAGGCATATTGGGTTTGAAATAAGACACTACCAAGAGATTTCACCCTCATTTTGCGTGGAATTTATGATCTAAGTTTTAGTTTCCTATAAGCGCAAGCCTCTATAATTAATTACCTCCTGATAACGAGAGAGAACTTTTGCTTAAGGCTAGTCGTCAAACATATACGTAGTATCCAACGTATAGTAGTAGTATATTTTGGTATTTAAGAATTAAATATTTAAAATTAGAAATTTCACCATCTTGCACTTAAAGCGGATGGTGGGAGAAATGGTGATGAACCCGATCAAGATCCCATGGTTCTGTCGTCCACGGCCATCATGGTCCCTGGTCTGGTTGGTCAGAGGAGGTAGTCGACCCAACCTGACAGAAGGATCCTTATCGATAATTATGGATTGCTTTGTCCAAGGATATATTGTAGAGTTGTAGTGAATATTTATCTAAGGGGATAAATTTGAATCTACCTTAGCTAATAGAGTGCTTTGTGCTCTATCGATTTTATATTATTGATTCATATCTCAAGGACTTGAAGCCATTGGGGAACATACGAGCTCTAACCATGGTCATAATATAATGATGTCATTTTGTGGAAAAATCATCCGGTCATAATCGTTTATCTGTGCTGCCATTTAGCGGCGAAACCATCAGTGTAGTGCCATTTGGAGGCAAAATCATCGATCAAATGACATGTGTCATGCTCTTACTGACAAAAAATAGATTGAGAATGAATCCTAATGATATTCTTGATCAGAATTTTGTTCTTTGTGAGCTGAAGTAGTTTTCAGATTTTGGCTACGTTTGGGACGACGTCTGGGCTGCTTCACGGCTTAAAACGCGCGCCCCATGTTGTTTGGGGCACTGCGTTGGACCGGAGGTTTAAAAATTTGTACGGTGGCAGCCTATT